CTCTATATTTGGTTGTCACTATTTCCCAAGCTTGTTATTTCATTTCTCAACTCTTGCAGTGTGTTTTTTATCTCCAGAAGATCTATTCTTTTCTTTTTGAGGGTTTCAGTCTCCTTGCTCTGCTCATCTAGTTTTTTTTTTTTTATAGATTTCTGTCTCTGATATCACTGATCCTTTCCTCTATTTGGTTGTCACTATTTCCCAAGCTTGTTATTTCATTTCTCAACTCTTGCAGTGTGTTTTTTATCTCCAGAAGATCTATTCTTTTCTTTTTGAGGGTTTCAGTCTCCTTGCTCTGCTCATCTAGTTTTTTTTTTTTTAATTCTTAAAACTATTGATACGACTCATTTTGTATTTCATTGAGTTTTTTCAGAAGTACCATCCTGAACTCTGTCATTTAAGTTGCATATTTCTATGTCTGTAAGCTTATTTTCTGGAGATTGTTCTTTTTCTTTCTGAGATGCCTTGTCACCTCGGTTGTTCATGGGGTTTAATGCACTATTTTTCTTGGGCATTAATAAGTGTATTCTGCTGTTTTTCCTAAAAGAAGGTTTATTATATAAAAGTCTCTCTTTAGACTGTTGCAAAGAAGGCGCTCTTTTTTTGGTTTCCAGTAGGTGGCATCTAAGCCTTTGGATCCCTACTTTATATAAAGCCTTAAAAATGCCTTTTTAAAAAATTTTATTGTAGACATTTAATCACGCTTGCTACCCTCAGTTTCATTCGCTCTCAGTGTTAGTGACAGTCTCAGCAACATTTGCTCAGATTCTGCTGAGGCTCTGCGGTGATCAGGTCTCAGAGGGTATGGGGCATGGGCCCTCCGGGTTGGGAGTTGGGGCCTGCAGCTCAGCCTCCATGTTGCAACTGGGGCTGGTAAAAATCAATCGTTTCTCTGCGGTCCCATCTTGCTTCTCTGCGGTCCCATCCTGCAGTCTCAGCAGCATTTGCTCAGATTCTGCTGAGGCTCTGCGGCGAGCTCACTGTAGCCCCAGGCAGGGCTGTTCATAGAAGTCCCCACACCTTCACCCCTTCCCCTCCTCCTGCAGGGAGCTTTGTTGGCTGCGAGAGGCAGCTTCTTTATTTCTCCCAGTCCACCGCCCGATACCCAGGGTTCTGACATTTGGTAGCTCTTATATGCAGATCCCACGCTCAGATGTGCTGGTGTGCAGTTTGGGTGTTTTTTCTTAAGTTTTAGATGTTCGGCTTATTGTTGTTTCAAGGGGAGAGATCTGGGGACATCTCTCACTCCATCGTGTTTCCGCAAAGTCCTTTTTTTGTTTTTAGAGAAATGATGTCCAGTAGTTAACTGCAGAAATACTGGAGCTTGACTGTCCAGAGGATTTTTATTCATCCCTGTGAACTGTTGGCCTGATCTCTTGAGTTGTTTTTTTGGGGGGGAGTGGGTTTCTTTTTTAGATTATTAAGATACCAAGCTAGACAATTGAATATAGTAAATGTTCTGAAGATAGCTGTGGCTTTAAAGCATGTTTATTATAGTTTCATTGTGGCCCCTGTGGATCTTCTTTACTTTCTTTTAAGCTTAGCATACTTTAGAACTTTAGTTTGTCATGTTTAATTCAACATTTATCAGTGTTCTTTAGGAAATCTGATGTACCACCTACATATCAAGTGTATCCATTGTCACAGTCATAATATAAAAGTTTTATTACAGTCTCAAATTCCTTTTGTTGTCAAACCCTTTCCTCTCATCAGCCTATGAATACTTGACATATTTTCCATCTCTACAGTTTTGCCTTTTTAGAATGTCATATAAATGGAATAAAAAATGTAGCCAATGGGGGTCTGGCTTTTTTCACTTAGTAAAATACATTTAAGATTTATATTGCATGAATTAATAGTTTGTTTCTATTTATTGCTGAATAGTGTTCCACTGATTGGAAATACCAAACTTTGTTGATTCATTCATCTTTTGAGAGACATCTGGATTTTCACTTTTTGCCCATTATGATTAAAGCTGCTATATTCTTTGCTGTACAGATGTTTGTCTAGACATAAGTATAAATGCCTGCCCAGAGTGGTCTACTGTTTTTCCCTTATTCCTCATTGTAGCCCTTAGAGTTCTCATCCCAGAGTATTGAGAATTTATGATAGGCCCTTTTCTCCAGCTATCATCACCCAAGCCCTATGAAATGGTCTAAAACACAGCTTAGTTTCTCTACCTCTCAATTGTCTTTTCTAGATTGTAAGATGTCTCTAAGTGGAAAAGTGGCTCTAAAAGTTCAGCTTATTTCTCTAGGTTTTCAGTAGACTTTTCATTCTCTGATCTTTCATGTGCCATTTTTACATGTTAATATATAAGACTATAATATTTTTTCAGTTTCTAGGTAGTAACACATTACTGGAACATAAAATCAATTTAGTGGGTTTTGACTCTGTGTGTGTGTGTGTGTGTGTGTGTGTGTGTGTGTGTGTGTGTGTGTGTGTTTAAGAAAGCGAGAGAGAAAACTAGAAAACGGTAGATACTGTTTTACGAAATTATAAATATAGCAGATTGTGATGTGTAAAGTAAGTAGGTATTATTGTATGTAGGTCATTAGAAAATAATATTTTTAAAACACTTATGTTAGCCAGTTATTCCTTGTGGATATAATTTTCTCCATATATTTTCTTATATAGTCTTTTCTACTGTGAAAGCTCTACTTGTGAAATGACAACAGAAATTTTTTTGTTCTCTTATCTTTCAGATTTGCCTTTAAGGTGTGCAAATAAGGACTTATCTCCAAAAAAGGACACTTACAAAACAGAGTTATCCCAATGGGAAATAAGTGACAGGCTTGAAAACTGTGATCTTAAGGAGTTCAGTTCCAGAGATTTTTTGGAAGTCAGAGGCACATTGGAAAATCAGAAGGAATATTTCAGGCAAGGAATGATCATATATGGAAAAATGTCCATTTTCAACCATCATACTTACTTATCTCAATATCCCAGATGTCATTCTACTGAGAAACCCTATAAATGTAATGAATGTGGGAAGGCCTTTAGACGAGCCTCGCACCTAACTCAACATCAAAGTATTCATACTGGTGAAAAACCCTATGAATGTAAGCAATGTGGGAAGGCCTTTAGTCGTGATTCACAGCTCAGTCTTCATCAGAGACTTCATACTGGTGAGAAGCCCTATGCATGCAAGGAATGTGGGAAGGCCTTTACTCAGAGCTCACAACTTATTTTACACCATAGAATTCATACTGGTGAAAAACCATATAAGTGTGAGGAATGTGGGAAAGCTTTTATTCGTAGTTCACAACTCACCCGACATCAAAAAGTCCATACTGGTGAAAAACCTTATGAATGTAAAGAATGTGGGAAGGCCTTTACTCAGAACTCACAACTTACTCTGCACCAGAGACTTCATACTGGTGAGAAACTTTATGAATGTAAAGAATGTAGAAAGGTTTTTACTCAGCTCTCACAACTTATTCTGCATAAGAGAATTCATACTGGTGAAAAACCCTATGAATGTAAGGAATGTGGGAAAGCTTTTATTTGTGGCTCACAGCTTTCTCAACATCAGAAAATTCATAATGGTGAAAAGCCATATGAATGTAAAGAATGTGGGAAGGCCTTTATTCGTGGCTCATTACTTATGCAACATCAGAGGATTCATACTGGTGAAAAACCATATAAATGTGAAGAGTGTGGGAAGGCCTTTATCCGTGGCTCACAACTTACTCAACACCAGAGAATTCATACCAATGAGAAGCCCTATGAATGTAAGGAATGTGGAAAGACCTTTAGTCATGGTTCACAACTTACTCAACATCAGAGAATTCATACTGGTGAGAAACCCTATCAATGTAAGGAATGCGGGAAAGCCTTTAATCGTGGTTCACTCCTTACACGGCATCAGAGGATTCATACTGGTGAGAAACCCTATGAATGTAAAGAATGTGGAAAGACTTTTAGTCGTGGCTCAGAACTTACTCAACATGAGAGAATTCACACTGGTGAGAAACCTTATGAATGTAAGGAATGTGGGAAGTCTTTTATTCGTGGCTCACAGCTTACTCAGCACCAGAGAATTCACACTGGTGAGAAGCCTTATGAATGTAAAGAATGTAGAATGGCCTTTACTCAGAGTTCACATCTTTCTCAACATCAGAGACTTCATACCGGTGAGAAACCCTATGTATGTAATGAATGTGGGAAGGCCTTTGCTCGTGGCTTACTACTTATACAGCATCAGAGAATTCATACAGGTGAGAAACCTTATCAGTGTAAGGAATGTGGGAAGGCCTTTATTCGTGGTTCACAGCTTACTCAACATCAGCGAATTCACACTGGAGAAAAACCTTATGAATGCAAAGAATGTGGGAAGGCCTTTAGTCATGGTTCTCAACTTACTCTCCATCAAAGAATCCATACTGGTGAGAAGCCCTATGAATGCAAAGAATGTAGAAAAGCCTTTACTCAGAGCTCACATCTTTCTCGTCATCAGAGAATTCATACTGGTGAAAAACCATATCAGTGTAAGGAATGTGGGAAGGCCTTTACTCGTGGTTCACAACTAACTCAACATCAGAGAAATCATATCAGTGAGAAATCTTTTGAACATAAGGAATGTGGGACAGACTTTACTCATGGCTCACAAGTTTATATATGAATTGGTTCTTTGTGATTAATATAGAGAGCATTCTCGGGTCAACATATTATCAAAGAATTCTTAAAATGTGCATATGGGAGCACACTTGTCTCATAAAGCTTAGCATCAGTGAATTTATATGGGGAAAGATAATATTAACGTAGTCCATGTAGAAAAACTATCATTACTAGAAACCTCTTAAACTTTAGCAAACTTAAATAGACAGTAATTTGTTAATGTAGTAAATATAGGAAGGTCTTTAGCCATAGCACATCTTTTTCAACACTATCTTGACTCTACCAGTTGCTTTCCTTTGTGACATTTATCATGATAATTAACCTCTACTTTCGTTTAATTGTTAAGAAAATCTGAGAAAAATGCCTTCCTTATAAGATCTTTGGAAGTATTATATGAATTATTACATGTAAAGCTCTTAGAACAGTGCCTTGAACATAACATATCACAAATATTAGGTATTGTTATAGTGTTAGAGAATTTGCGTGAGATGAGGACACTTATGAATATTGAGAAATCTTTCATTAACACTTAACCCCAATTATTTGAGTAGGGGGCACTGTATTCCATAATAAATGTATGAAAGCTTTCATTCAGATCTCATCCCATATGCTTATGAGGAAATTCATACTGTAAAAAAAAAAAAAAAAAAACTAGATCAAACCAGTGTATTGTTGAAGAGGTATATATTTTCTACCATCTCTGACCACAATTCAAGAATATGATTTAGAAATTTTAAAAAAAGATAGCCAAAATAAATCTACTAGGAACTTTTTAAAAACTTGAATTTACAGTTTTTGATTAAACTAAAAATAAAAACTGACATTACAGATTTTCGCAATGAATGACAGTCTGTAAATGATGACAGTCTGTCAGAAACTACTTTCTCTCTACCCAATATCCATTTCTCCTTAGTGACAGAATTCATGGTTGAAAACCAATGTTAGCCTCCCTTGCCTATCAACAAGATGGAAGTAGTGTTTGAGAAGGACATTTAAGAAATCCTTTATCTCTCTCTACTTTTTAAAACTCTGCCTACAATGTGGACATTTAATCTGCAGCTCTGGCAGTTTTATGGGAACTTTGAAAATGGGTATTAAGGATAGTGAAGCAAAAACACAATAAATATACACCTCAGCTTTAATTTTATGGAAAAACCATAAACAATTCTGGTCTGCCAGCTTCCTGTATTTATATAAAATGAAAATAAATTTGTTGATGCTGTTGTCATTTTCTTATTGACACTAAAAATTATTAAAGATATAGTTCTGTACCTGGATGTGGAATGCTGTTGAGAAAAGAAATCTCAAATGTGGCATTGCTTAAGGGCTATGGAGAATGATGATCTACCCACCTCTGTTTAGAAAACTGAAGCTTTTCGGATTTTTTAGACAAGACATTTGGTCAGACTCCCACTCTGTCTCACAAGGCATTTCTTGTGCCAATCAAGGCTGTCATGTTAGAGGAAATGGTAGGAGTAATTCAGAATGTATGGGTTGGATACTTCTTGCTGCATTCAGTAATGTCTTGTGGAAGAAATTTAGTGGAGTTAGCTACAGAGGCTGCTAGCAGAGATGCTTTGAGAAATGCAGGTGCTCAATCCAAGTTGATGGTAAATTTCAGAATTTTGAGACTTGTAGGATTCAAAATGCCAAACTGATTAACTGAAGCCACATATAGTGATATAAAATGGCAGCCTAAACAAATTAGACTATTGCCCATCCATGCAAAGGCAGTGGGTCTGCTAGCAAAGAAGAGTTTAAAATGTTTTCCCCAAACCTATTCTAAAAACATAATTTCTTGTGTATTTAGTGCTTACTGTATTTCAGCCACACTCTTAGGTGTTCGGGGTATATCAATGAGCAGGAGGAGATAAAATAATAAAACACTGTAGAGTATATGAGAACAGAAGTGTTATGGGAGGAGGGGAGTCATTTAAAAGGAGTTGAAGGGGATATGACAGTTTAGATTGCTATATGAAATAGAATGATCAGGGCAGACCATGGAGAAGGAAAGATCTGAGTCAAGATTTGAAGGAGTAAGCCAAAACTGGCTTAAAATCCAGTGTTCGTTTAGCTCACACATCTACAAAATTTTGGACAGGGTTTGGCAGCAACATCTCATCTCTGATTCGTACAGCATCAGATGGTGGCTTGAAAGCTAGAATGTCACTTGATAGCTGAAGGCTGGAATAATCTGAAGACTCACTTATCTGAAGTCTTGCTCACATGTCTGGTAATTGACTCTGGCTGTCAGCTGAATTTCAAATAGGGCCGTTAGGCAAAATACCTATATGTGATTATCCCCATGTGATTGCTATCTTGGTGACTTGGGTTCCAAGAGTATGTCCCAAAGAACAAGGTGGTAGTACATGTACTTTTTATCATGGGGCCTTAGAAATCACATTATTTGTGCCATACTCTATGGGTTGATGCATTCACAGTGCAATAAAAGAAGTGTCACATCATAAGGAGAGCTTATAGGACGGGATATATTATAGCCATCTTTGTAAAATACAATGTGCCATAAAGATGCTTCCATATCTAGCCTTGAAATCACATAATCACTCCTGCCATTTCCTATTGGTTTAGACCGTTGCATCTTGATGGTAGAGTGTCATGTAAGTTGGGCACCTGGCTACCCAGCAATTCACATTGTGTTGGGAAGGTAGTCAGTTTGGACTTGGCTGGGCTGCATACTTGCCAAGGGATTACTATATGCCGTATAGGTAAATGGCTGGGGCACAGCACCATTTAATGTTCTTACACAACCAAACTGCTAACCGCTAACCAACCATGTAGTAGGAAGAAAGTGCAAAACGCTCCATACCAGGACCAGTAAGACAAGCCTATTGAAAAAGTTAACATCACACTCACTGTAAAGAAGAAAATGCTTGGAAGCCAGTCCATTATAGCAGAGCAGGTACTGAAAGTTGAATTTGGAGCTGTGAGGCAATAAACATAACTGGCACAAGAGTAGATGAATATCTTGAAAATATAAACTCCTTTAAGTCAGGAAAACAAGCCAGTTGAAAAATAAATGCATATGCAGGTATTTCACAGAAAAGAAAGCACAAATCATCAATAAACAAGAAAAGTTGCTTGTCTTCATTAGTAATCAGGAAAATGTGAACCAGAACTATATTGAGATACCATCTCACAAATATCTATTGGAAAAATAAAACTGGAAAGTATCAAGAGGTAGGATTTGGAGGAATGGGAATTTCATCTGCTGGTGAGTGAAAATCATAACTACTTTAGAGAAACAGGCATTTATTAATTTTAAAGTTGCACATGCCCAGTAACAGTATATATATTCAGCATACATATGATTAATATATCCCTTATGAAAAAATTGCACAGATGTACTAGGACATAAATACAAATATGCTCCAAGTGATGCTGTTTGTTTTGCCTTTATTTGTCATTTCTATAATTAAATATTTATAGAACACCCACTAACAGTAGAATACACATGTTTTTAAGCACTCAGAACATTAACCGAGATAGGCTATATGCTGAGTCATAAACATCAACAAATTAAAAATCTAAATCACATAAAGTATGTTCTCTGACCATTTGTTCTCTGAACATAAGGGAATCAAACAAATCAAAAACAGCAACAGGAAAAACAACAAACACTTGGAAATTAATCAACACACTTATAAACAATCCATGGGGCAAAGAGGAAATCTCAAAAAGAAAAATTTTTAAAAGTACTGAACTGAATAAAATTGAAAGTACACAGATATTCATAGCTGCTTGATTTGAAATAGCCAAAAAACTGAAAAACAATCCAGACATGTCCTTCATCAAGTAAATGATTAAACAATGCATCTATACCATGGAATAACAGCAATTAAAATTATTTTTAAAGGCATAAACTATTAATACACATAACTTGGATCGATCTCCAGGGAATTATGCTGAGTGAAACAAAGCCAATCTCAATAGGTTACACAATGTATGATATCATTTATATAACATACTTGAAATGTCAAAATTATAGAAATGTAGAAAAGATGGTGCAAAGATTAAGGATGGAGGGTATAAAAGGGCATAATGATGTGGGTGTGGTTATGAAAGGGAAACAATGGATTCTTGTGATGAACTACATCTTGACTAAGTTGGTAGATACACAAACATAAATGTGATAAAATTTTATAAAACTAAACACAATGAGTACAACTGGGAAAATACAAATAAGATTAGTGGATTGTATCAGTGTCAATATCCTGGTTGTGATATTGCATTACAGTTTCGTAAGATGTTATTTTTGAGAGAAATGGTAAAGTGTACACTGGATCAATATAATTAAATAAATGCTGACTTTTCCATTGTTTTCCAAGTTTCCCAGTAAACTCGATGGAATGAAACTTGCCCTCTAATAGATTCCTAATGGGCATTTATACATATTGAAAACTATTTTTCTCTAGCCTTGTACTGGAAGGAAAATGGCTGGACACAAAATCGTTGGCCCACACTACCTCTTGAGATTTTGGAAAATGCTGTTCCACCTTTGTATTTCTTTTTAGTTTTTGAGAATTATAATGTCACTACCCTCTTCTTCCACATAAATGGAGAAGCAAACGAAAGCCTATGACTATGGTAGAATTTTAAGAATCTTCTCTTTACATTTCTAACTAGCTTCATTATTTTATGTTTTTACACTTTTCTGATCTTACAAATTAAACTATGATATACTTTAGAACTAAGTTGTGGCTTTCATCACTTTCCTAGTGTTTATCATAATAATATCTGGTACCAAAAATGTAGCCAACATTGTTTTATTCAATCCAACAAGTAAATAACTTTTTTGCAAAAAAAAAAAAAAAAAAAAGTACAAGTTAATAGTCCTTAATCTGGTCAGATATTTCTTAAAGTGTTAATTTTTGAAATTAAAAAAAATATATATCCTTATGATTAAAGGAGTACACTAAAGTAATTTCCATTGGTTAGTAGGAATTTATAGTATAAACACATTTAAGAGTATTAACTCTTACCAATATATATTGTCCTCTTTGTCACTTGCAACAATATTTCACTTAAACTTTATTTGGTTTGACAAAAATACAGCTACCTCTGCTCTTTTTTGGTTGACTACTTCCATGAAATATCTTTATCCATCCTTTTACTTTCCATCTCTTTATGTCTTTTTATATAAAGTGAGTGTCTTGTAGATAGCACTTGGATGGACTGTGCTTTTATCTATTTCTCCAACCTCTACCATTTCATTGGACAGTTTAATCCATTTACATTTAAAGTAATTAAGGAAGAAAGGACTTGTACTTTTTACATATTTTTTTATGTTTTATGTGTTTTTTAATTTCTCAACTACTCCATTAGTGTTGTATTTAGTTGATTTTTTTAATTGTATATGACTTTGATTCTCTTCTGTATATTTTTAGTTACTGTTTTAGTAGTTTCCTGGGGGATTACAATTAACACCTTAAACTTATAGTTTGGATAATAACAACTTAGTCTTAATAATATACAACCTGCTCCTGTACATCTCTGTGTACCTTCATTTATATTGTTATTGTCACAGATTTCATCTTTGTACATTGTGTGCCCATTAACAGATTTATAACTTTCTATGTTTAGCTTTTAAATCAGAGAGAAAAAAAGAAGTTCCAAACCAAATACAATAATACTGGCTTTTATATTTAACTACATATTTATGGCTTCAAGTTACTATCATGTCCTTTCATTTCAGCCTGAAACATTTCTTGTAAGATGCTCAGATAAACTACTACATAATATTGCTGCCTTACATTTCTTGTAAGATGCTCAGATAAACTACTACATAATATTGCTGCCTTGGCATCTATTTTGTGTGGTCAAGTGACCTTAAAGGGCCTTTAGCTGATACTACTGCTCCCAAAAGTACATGCCCTAGATAACAGCCCACAAAGTCACAAGTAAGTTCCTGATATGGCTCCCCCGATAGCCCTTGTATTAAAGTCTCCTCTGTCTCCCAGGGCCTTCCTCTTCTGTACCTCTTTAATAAGATCCCCTTGAAGCTTAACCAAACGTTAAGATTTTGGATTGAATGACCAGTCCCTTAGCCTGGGAATCTCAAAGCAGGCCACACATGGACCCTAAAAAAGGCATTTACTCCAGGTCCTGCTGTGCTTTCTGCCTGCACCCTGCCTTGACTCCCCTGTGTGGCCCCTCACGTCATGCCATACACCTCTTCCAAGACCTGAGTAATAAACATCTCTATTTCAA